CTTATTGAATCGCTGCATGTGAATTAAGTGTCATGGTGTAATGAAGGTTGACTACCTTATTTGACGGGGTGACACTGATTCTAACAAGTGACATCAAGTACGTCACGATGTTGAGCGCCACTGGTCGATTCGGCCGCCCACAAACTGCGGTAGATGCGGCTGCTGTTCGTTCTGGCCTGAAGACTTTCGGTTATTTTTGCAAGCATTCTTGCCAATCAAAGGCAAATTACTGTGTTAGATCCCTGATCATGCAGGAGGCAGGCATGCCACCACAACATCGATCTACCTTGCTCGTTTGACCGTGCTGGACTGCGAAACCTAAGAAAAACTCAAAGGCTGGCTATGTCGTGATTAACTCTGCTGTCCGCACCATGAAAATTTTACTCCTCCCAGCATATACCTCTGAGTCGTTAGGTTCGATACATGCTAGCACAAATCTGTTGACCTCCCTTTGAACAAAAAAAGACAGTTTCAATCATTTGATAGTTTTCCTTTTGACATCCTTGCAAACAAATATACTGGTCTCAAAGTGACTTCAGTCGGACAATTCATCCAGTGTAAGTGAACGAACGTGGTGATCGGGTAATGGATCTGGGTATGGTTGGATCAGGTCATGGTAACGTTTGCCCACGTCCAAGGCGTCCGTGGCGCGCATTTAGGGCACAGACACCAGCTGAAACAGGAAGACCAAAAAAGGGTTTGACCGAAAATGTCCGAAACGTTGTTTTTACATGCCGGCCCAATACCAGCCTGAGAAGCTGAGATAAACAGCGCTAACGCAGCGCAGATATTTCAAAACCACGTGGGCAGAAAATGTATATACATGCATCGCAACGGGCAGCCAGTGAACAACAGGGGTGGGATGGGGGCAGCTGATCGTGACTCTGCGCCCATCACCGGACGGCGTGTATGTCGCCACGGATCCCTCCCTCCCCTCCCCCCCCCCCCCCCCAAGTGCGCGGAAGCAGCTATACCGCGGGCAGCCTCTGGGGTTGTTGTCTGGGGCGCCCAGGCGTTCGTCTCAATGAGCGCGCCTATAGGCTCACTGGGTGCGCACCAGTGGTTATATACGACCGCATAATACTCGGCAAGAACGACGACAGTCATTGCCATTCGCGTCGAACACGAGCCTCAAAACAACAGAGCGCCAGAGCAGGATTCTGTTCTGGAAATTGGAACTGTGGGAGCCGTCCATACTTGGCCAATACCGAAGCAATGACGGGATGTGTGGGACTCTTGGGACTGGCCCAAGAGATGCATCACAGTGAGCGTTGCATTATGCAGAGTAAGGAGGTGCTCTCGTGATAAGTACAAGCGTTTCGAGAACGATTCGCGACCGGAAAAGCCCACCGAGTTTGGGAACTAGGAGAGCATCGCTCCCGTATCCCCCCCCCCCCGTAACAGAGCCTCGGGACAGAGGTCGCACAGAGTTGACTTAATGGGAGCAGACTGAGAGAGAGAGGAGAGAGAGAGAGAGAGAGAGAGAGAGAGAGAGAGAGAGAGAGAGAGTAGAGAGGAGAGAGAGAGAGAGAGAGAGAGAGAGAGAGAGAGAGAGAGAGAGAGAGAGAGAGAGAGAGAGAGAGAGAGAGAGAGAGAGAGAGAGAGAGAGAGAGAGAGAGAGAGAGAGAGAGAGAGAGAGATGGGTCGCTCGCTCAAGCTGTAAGGATTGCAATCTGCGAGTCTGAGCCTTCTGAGATCTGAGAGTCTCAGAAGGTTCAGGCTCCAAGACCTGTGCTTGCACCTAGCGTTTGATTTCGGTGTTGGTACTGAGGCGGGGGGATTTCTGGAGCGCGGTACCCCTACCCCGCGATCCTGCACCTGGCTACGTGACGGTTGACGGCCTGTCAAAGCCAGAACACGAACATGCCGCAAAGCAAGCCGGCCATCTCGTGTCAAGTCACGTTTCGCCATAACAAGAGGATTGAACGCACGGCACCTGACGCGCATTGTGCATCCACATCCATTACAGATTCATGCTCAAGTCGTATGTTGTAGCTGAGCCAAACGTAGTCTCAACATAAAGAAAGATCCGTCCCAGCTTGAAATTATGAGTCTCAGCGGCCGGCCATGCCTCATCTGTAATTGGTGTCTGCTCCTAAGGTTAGTGCTTGCTGCAGACATCGTCAGTCACAACCGCCATCCGTGAGGCTCTTAACTGTCGTCAGGTTCTGCTATCGCTACTGCCAGGCCCAGCTCTACTATCTACGCTCGCTCTTTTTATGCATAAGTGTCAACAAATGTCGTCCTGTATTAGGCCGGCACCAGTGCAAAGATGGCACGAATTGGGCGACGGGGATGAGCACAGCGTTCGCTTTGTACTGTGACCAAGTGCAAAAGAACTTCTGCGATCGTTGTGTTATCACATAAAACGTAAAAACGCTACACACAGACCAAATGTACATAATTAACGTCAAGCTTCATAATATTCTGGTGGAAAGGCTTTCTTGGTTAGCTATAACGGGGATTTCGTGTTAACGGAAGAAAATAACGTTACAAGCGTGTAATTGGACTGTCAATATCGTAAGTAATGTCAATGTCAGCATTTTCGACGGCGGAAAAAAGATGATGGATGAGATCTACGTACGCAGCAGACACACAAAGATGATGGCCACGCTTAAGTGACAAATAAACGTTCTTGCATAGACTTGGTCCGAACGTTTTGATTAAATGGATTCCTGGATTCAGAAATCACGTCAAGAAACGCTGGTGTAAGCCCTGACCCGACCATCTGATGGGGACATTCCAGATCAACGGCAGATTTTTTTGGCAGAAGTTTAGCGTGTCGCAATGCTGAACCCCGTCCCCCATCCCGCCCTCTGCCTTCATACCACCTTGAGTGACCGCTGCCAACGGCCGGCGGCCATCTCAGGCAGGGGCAAATGGCGAGGGCCGGGGCGATTCCAACTACCACCACGTCACTGGGAGATTGGAACACAGGTGTTCTAACCGATTTTGCTGCGGGGCGGACTCGCGGTCGCTTGCAAAGTCAGCCAAACTACGTCATCGTACTAACAGGCGCCGATCATTGTCATGGTACCCCGACGAATCAACTAAGGACAAAAGAGCGACACATTGGGCTTCTATCATGTACTGATCCTAGACAGCTTACATTATTTTCAGACCATGCGACACAGCTACCCTCTTAACATTATGCTCTTGTTAGCCTACGAAATGTATTGAATAATCCTTAGACCCCTATTAAATGAAACGGCAGTCCAATTCATCATTGCAAGCACTGAGCGTGTCTAGAAGCTCATCTCAATTATACCGGCGCGAGGGTTTCTATGGTCGAAATATGTTACGCCTTTCTCTCCTCAGAAACCCGCCTGCACATCACCCCAGTGCGGAACTCAGCGAGCTATGCAAGGATGTACAGATCGAGATCACATCGGCTCTCGGGTGTCACACCTTCGCCGCGCCACGGACATCGCGCCAGGTCACCGGGTCAAGATCACACCAGATCGAGATCACACCGGCTCTCGGGTGTCACACCTTCGCCGCGTCACGGACATCGCGCCAGGTCTCCGGGTCAAGATCACACCGGATCGAGATCACACCGGCTCTTGGGTGTCACGCCTTCGCCGCGTCACGGACATCGCGCCAGGTCACCGGGTCAAGATCACACCGGATCGAGATCACACCGGCTCTCGGGTGTCACGCCTTCGCCGCGTCACGGACATCGCGCCAGGTCACCGGGTCAAGATCACACCGGATCGAGATCACACCGGCTCTCGGGTGTCACGCCTTCGCCGCGTCACGGACATCGCGCCAGGTCACCGGGTCAAGATCACACCGGATCGAGATCACACCGGCTCTCGGGTGTCACACCTTCGCCGCGTCACGGACATCGCGCCAGGTCACCGGGTCAAGATCACACCGGATCGAGATCACACTGGCTCTCGGGTGTCACGCCTTCGCCGCGTCACGGACATCGCGCCAGGTCACCGGGTCAAGATCACACCAGATCGAGATCACACCGGCTCTCGGGTGTCACACCTTCGCAGCGTCACGGACATCGCGCCAGGTCACCGGGTCAAGTCGGACCTTAGCCATACCACCAGCAGGAACATGGAAGAGGGAAGGGTCGCAATAACACAGGCATTTAAACACCCAGATGTAAGTGTTACCCGGATTAATATTGCCCGAACAGGCTCATCTACATCCGTAATTCCGCTCGCTTGTATCACGTGTTCTTGAAGAATGTGCTTTAAATGATGCGTCATACATATGATTTACTGGAACTGGTGGAAATTAATAAAAGATGTCTCGAATGAATGAATGCAACTTCAGTTCAGAACTAATATAGCAGGAAAGCAGGCGCACGATGAATTACTGATCCACCCTAATTTGGAATGCAACCTATTACGAATTACGAAATCCTGACATGTTAATGAAAAAATTACACGGATAGTTGAAGAACACGTACGTGCCTACATGGATAATTGGCTATATTATTCCATATGGACTATAATCACGCACACATTCACACACTCTCAATCCATGGCTCAAGTGTCAAAAAGCAAGCATATCCCTACACTGCACGACGACCAGGATTAGGGCTTACACAACAAGCACTACTTGGGGTGGGCGCTGATCCCAAAAAATCATCTAATCGAAATGTCCGAGCCAAAATTAAAAACCGGCGTGTGCCAAATGGGCGCAGCAGACATTCAAATGGAAGTTTTATCACATTCCTCCCACCATGGCTGCCTGCCTACTGTATAATTCATCCCAGGGGCCACGTGACCGAGCAAGCTCTAGCCTCTTCCGTCGGTGGCGTGGCCTTCCGGCACGATTCCGCGATCTCGCCCGCGCTGAGATCCCCATACGACGCTCTCTGCTGGCCGAGACCGGATCTAATTCGCATAATTAACGCCCATAAAAGCGCCTCCGCCCGGCGGCGCCGTGTCCTCCTGACAGGGCTGCCCGCGCGTCGGTGCCAGCAGGCGCCGCCGGCGTTGCCACTCACCGGTCCCGGTCGCTGGTTAGCCGATTACGTCTCGCGCTCGGGACGGACGAGCAGAGCCGCGGCCGCCGCCGCCGCCGCCGCGTTGCTGGCCGGGGCACGGTATCGACTGGCGCCGCGACCGACGTCGCCCGCGCGCCCCCAAAAACACCGCCGGCGCCGGCGGCGACGCTGCGTCCGAGGCGGTATCCGGGCGGCGCCGGCGGCGACGGCGCGCCGCGCGGCCGGCCGGCGCGGTGCGCGGGAAATTAACGCGCGCGGCACCGGGCCGCCGACAATCAGGTTACCGTCCACTCGGCGCGGCCTGTAGATGGTTGCCCGAGGCTGGCAGCGCGCGATCCGCGATGGTGTGCGTGCTGCCCCGGCTCTGGCGTCGCGGGAGCTGGGGTGCCCCCGGGAGCGGCACTGGCGCCGATGGTCGGCTGGGGTGCTCCAGGGATGATGACAATCGTGTGAGAGATTTGTCCAACGCGGACTGGGCTCGTTGACGTCTATAACTTGGCACGAATTTCTCTAAACACGGAGATCAGAAAGGGCAAGTGGGAGGCAAAACTAAAGACAAAAACGAACTATCTGGCTCCGTCAGCCTGTCGTAAAATATTCCTCTGACGAAGATTTGCACACAACGCTATACAGCAGAGCGATGTCAAGTGCTCCCTCTCCTCTCGTATCGGACTTTTTACGACAGACTAGCCCCAGAAGAAACAACACACAAGAGGACCAGGCGCTGTTCAGCATGTGTGCGCCAGTTTGAGCGTTGAACGACCAATCGTCGGCTTGCAAAACGCGTGTTTGGCGGAGAGGGTGCACTCTCGGCCCGGGCGCGCGCTGTGGTGGCGCCGGTGGCGCCGGGTCGCTCCCAGACGCTGCCGACAGGACGCCCCGCGGCGGCGGCGCGGCTCAGCGGCCGCTCCCGCTCTCCCCGGGGGTACATTACCCGCAGCCAGACCAGCCTTTCATCCGGCCACGACCGATGGCTCCTTGGCTGAATACCGCCGGACGACGGCCCGGCCTACGCCGGATCCCAGATAATATATGAACGCTCGGCGGCGGTATGCGGCGCGCGGGACGGACCGGGCGGCGAGGAGCCGGCGCGGCAGTGGGGGCGCCGCCCGCCCGGTCGGGTCGGGCCCGGCTCTGTCGAGGCCTAAGTCCGCCACGATGAGAGGGCGCTGAGGAGCCAGAGCTTTGGCGGCTGGAGCATGAGGGACTGAGACCTTGGCCTAGTCCTCTGACGTGGCTGGAGCCACTGCATCAACTACTCGTATGCGCAGGTGGGGGCGCCCAACATGTGAAGGAAATTGGTCTGCTAGGTCTACTGGGACTGCGAAGAAGTGGTGCTGACATGTCTGCTTTATTGCTCTAAGTGTGAATTGTAGTAGTACTTTTCAGTATGTGCGGTTTTACGTCACGTTCGCGTAATAAATTGAAACGGTAATTGCTTCAATAGGCATGAGTCGTTTGTCCGCAAACGTTCTACGCTCTGTAACAATGTTTTCGATGTGCCCTCTACATTGGGCTAGACGTCGGCATCGTTTGCTCAACTTTACTACTTTCTTCACACGAAGCGTGTCAGAAAATATTTGCCTACTTCTTATCCTGTCATTTTGCTTTTCCTTTCAGATTCTCTCAATTCATGATCAATGGGAACAGAGAAGCATAATTTATTTTCTGGATCACGATTTATGTAGCATCGCGTGCAATCCATCACATGCTGAATGTGTACTAGTGTGCCGCGGAGCGCTTCATAACGGCTCCCGCCGATGACATGGCCTTGTTTTACGTTACCGCGGCGAACTATCAACCCCGTATCGTCCCACTCACGTGTAAACATTGCTGCTTTTTGCGGTTCATCAGCCATTGACAACTCGTGAAGATATCATCAGTTACATAATGATACAACGTTGATTTAGAACTCTGCCACAATCCTAGGGCAAAGGAAGGTGCATATGGCGTAAATTGTGGCAGAGACCACGTGTGTAGCGTACGAGCAGCACGTAGCACCCAGTTGAAAAGCACTGCGTAATCTCGCAAAAAAGTACTCTCAGATGTGTACAGGTGCACTAAGTAGCATTTACCTATTACGCCCGAGGCCATAGCCAGGAGTGACACGGGGTCATGCCCCTCCCCCTTCCCTTCACCCCCGGGTCAAGAGGTTTACACTACATGCTGGGCAATTTCGAAGGAATTTGATCCAAATGTGCGGCAGCTCGGAGAAAATTTGACGGCTGCCTTCTAACTGAGAGGAAATTTTGGCTTGCGGCCAATTTGCGCCATTTATTTGATTGCCTCACCAGTACTCAAGCTTTGTGGCACGCAACGCCAGAAATAATACGATTCCTAGTATAGACTTTACTAGTGAGTCGCACGACAGCGCCGAAAATGGCGAAGGTGTCCCGGTAAACCTGTAGGGAGCTCCGGTATGAGTTAAACACATCATGGAACACCAAAGCTTCTTACGGGATTAATGCGTCTTGAGTGGGCT